ATGGCAAAAAAGTATTAAAAAAGAAAGATCTGCAATAAACACATAGAGAAATTCATGAGGTCTGCTGGTTCTTTCCGTAGCTCGTTGGAAGAGCATCATGCACACAAACAAATGTCTAGATAGACGCCGCGAGTACAGCAGTTTGTATGAAAACCAAGCATGTCACATTTTTTGTACCGACTATGACGTCACAAGAACTATTTAGTGGTGGGAAACCTCCTTCGGCTCTAAATCGATTGATTGAAAGGCATACGCGTATTCCATTCAATTGATCGATAAATAGAATAATTTTTGTTCAAGTATTTGTTGATTACGAGTAGTCGTAATATTAATATACCTAGTGGAAAAATACTACAATAAGATAGAGTTTTTTATTGTACTTGTTTTTAAAAAATGTTGATTACCTAAAAAAATTAAGACTTTAATTATTAAGCGACTTCAAATATTAAAATTATTGTCCTTCTAATGAAATGAGCTTTTTATATAACATCTTTTTGTAATAGAAGATCTTATCGATAAATTAAAAAAAAAACGCACGTCAACTTGCCACTGCGTTAATTAATTTTACTAGACTGCTTTCTGTTGGTAATTGATCAAATTTATGAATGGCAAGACTAACTAAAAATGTTACTGCTGACAAAATATGGTAAAATCTTATTAATCAGAAGATGTTTACTTAATGACGGCCTCGCGTGAAATTTTTGTGATTTGTTTATTATTTCTCGGATTTATACTACTCCGTGTATTTGGATAGCATCTTAGGTGGGATAAACTAGACCACCTTCGCCCTTGAAAGCAACGAATTCATACGTATGACCAACTCCAGGTTTTTGTAAAGACAGCGCACTATTACATTCTTCGCATTTTATATTTTTTTGTATTACTCGTACTACATATCCGGCGATGTATGTAATTATATGCTCGCTATATTCGGACATTTGATTGCAAAAATTATGGAAATTACTGATAATAGATACTACAAAACTAAAAATTCGTTCGTTCGATATTCGTGGCGAATTAACAGAGGATCACAAATATATCGCCCCAAGTAAAATCCGCAATGTATTACAAATCATGAACACTCGGTTGCACATTTGTTTTCTCGAAATTCATACAAAATCAAGTAATAAAAAAAAATATATAAAAGTAAAATTAATTATGCATCTTCTGAATACAAAATCACTTGCCCGTGGAAGGAAAAGTCGTTGTTTACTCGTTTACTCACAGTTATGGTGCTTTTGCAGTTTATAATGGCACAATTATGCATTTTTCGCGTTTTCGACGTGTATTTATCTACGATAACGATTGAGTGCGTTCTAAAGTGTAGCAGCGGCAATTAAGTGTATTTCACTTACATTGGGCATGCGAAGTACGTACACTTGCGGTGTCTATCTAAATATATGTCTGTGGACATGCACGATATGCTAAAGGCGCTGGTTTGAATCCAGTCAAATCGAAGGAATTTTTCTCAGTATAATATCTTTGCATTAACAATAATAACAAACTGGTGGAGTGATTTCATAAAAAATAATTGAATATCATAATATTAAAAAATATATATTTTCCTTTTTTTGTTCAATTTTACACATTAGATATATTTATGTGAATAGGTAGGTACTTGTAAGACGATCTCAGTAGTAGGACCACTTTGGGAAATGAACTTTTCTAAATTAATTCTAGTCTGGGTGTTCTAGGACTACCTAGAACACCCAGACCTGGGGCACTAGCCCCAGGGTGGATTCCGTTGCTCTGGTACTCATGGTATGTGGTACCTAGTTTGGGAACAATGGTTGTGGTTGTCTAGCACATTATTATTATATTATTTACAGTTTACTTCACTAGTTTTGCTATCTCAAACTTGCAAACTTGTATACAAAGCCATGTTAATGTAAATTCATATACTTCTAACTTTCATATTAAATGCAATGATTCAGATCTCTGTTTGGTCGCATAAATATATTATAAAACCGTTGGAATTATAAAGCTTGTTCAAGATAAAAGTTTTCCAAATTAGATAACGCATGGTCGCCATTGCACTCATAAAATTTTGAAAACGAAGAATTTTAATGAATTCCAGATAAGAAATTTCGAGAACAAATTTATCATTTATATGAATGGTTAAATTTTATGGGTAATTTTGCCTTGGGGGTATCTCTTACTCTGAAATATATACCTCTAATTGTATATGTGCTTGTTTTGGTGAATACGTAGATACCAAAAATCGTAGAAAGAGTTCGCAAGTTCCCGTTGTAATATTTGTATTACAGTTCAACTATTTAAAGAGAGTATGTAGATAACTTATCTATTTTTGAAGCATGCTTGTATAAAAGGCTTTGGTCTCTGTCTACCTCGATGAGTAAAGGGCGTAAAGGATATGTATGCCTGTATTGTAAAATTCTGAATATAATATTAACTAATTTTATAAATGGTATTGCGTTTGCGTGAAGGCTGTCGCCGCCGCCGACATATCATCCGGGCCGGCGGGCGGCGCGCGGCGGCTCTAAGGCCGTACATTATCGTAGATGTACTCATGTACACTAAGACTTCAAAATTCAATGTATAAACCGAAGCTTTCAAAAGTACAGTTAACTGTACAAAATTCTTATGTATAATTAAGAATATTATTTAGATGTAAAATAATTTGGATTGATAACTGTATGCTGAACAGATTTAGTGTTGTGACGGCTCTGAGACTGCGCTCTGGACACATTCCTTCAAAGAAGTTCACATTTTTAACGGGCTTTACACCAACTCCATATTGTAGCGATTGCGACGTCTTTGAAGACGTTTACCATGTTTTGATAGAATGTGAATGTGAAAGTCTCAGGAGACAGTTGGGCAGTGTGTGTGGTCAACATACGACAGACTGGATGGCGTAACAGTATACCTATTGGCCGTTCCTTCGTCAAACGAAGCTAAGATACTGTACAAAATATATTTAAGTAGGCTCAAACTAGGTTAAATGTATAAATTAAGCAGCATTATGGAGCGACAGTGCCTTTTACTAACACGGTAAAGCTCTTTAAATTTAAATTTATTATAAAAAAACGTTAAATAACAGGTATTGTCAGGGTGTGAGACCTATATAACTTGTTGAATAAATTCTTATCCACGTTGTCTTAATACATATAACAACGTAAGTTACACACATAACTAAATTAGATAAGATGTCCTTATTGCTATGGGTCACTATCATCGTAAGTCACTATAGGTATATAAATAGTTGTCAGTTGAAAATTCCGGATTTCAACGCTGACTGTGCGACAAAACTTGATTGCACCGATACGACACGCCAACGTTGTAACTACCTACAATTCAATCTTGAGTAACAAGGAGAGACTTTATTCACTAATATACATGTTCTCTGTGCAGGGTGCAGGGCAGGCCGTAAACAAGGCTGTTCACTCGGCAACTAATGGAATCGCTGAATATATTGCTTCTACCACTGGGGGTCAAGGGAACACAGTTAGTTTAACCTACGAGAATTGGTTTGGGACTAGTTTACTACGTATGTTGAAATAAGATTTAGAATTGTAGATAGTTGTATGTATGTATAAAGATACGATAGCTTACCTACTGCTTTCACCAACCAGCCTATTTTGAGGCCTATCATTACACGAAGTTAAAAGAAAATTAAAGCAGGAGTTAATGAATGTGACATACGATAACACAGAAATTTGTTCCTATAAAACAAAAGATTCTCTACAAATACAATCAATTCATTGTTATTTTTATAAATTCGTGCTCCCACTTAGAAACGAACACACTCACACACACACACACACACACACACACACACACGCACACACACGCACGCATTTGTTTGTTATTATCATATTTACAATTATCATATTTCTTTTACCTAGTTAAATAAATTGTTTGTTTTTTAATCAAGCGTTGATGACCTTTGTAGACCTATTTGGTCTAGTGGTCGATATGGTAGGTAAGGAGACTTAATATATGAAAATAAAATTAGTCTTTCTTCTTCTTATCGTATTTGCTGGCATATTCTATTATACTTGCCATCGTGGTAAAGGAATTTGCCAATCGGCAAAAGGTTCTTGCCGATTGTTACCCAGGGTGCACTGTTTAGGAATGGTACATCGTAAGGGGAGGTTCCATTAGTACACTCTAATTTTATCCATTCAAACGATGTTTTTTTTATTCGTGTTAGTTTACAAATACCCCACAGCTTGTAAAACTTTGTAGAGCTAAATACGTAAGTAGGTTACGATATTACGATTGTCATTAATGCGCAACAATCAGCCAAATTCAATTAAATCTGGAACATTACAAAACGCAAGCCTAGCGGCAGGCGAGGCGCCTAGAACCCTCCATAAAGGTGGATTAATACTGCCGAAAGCCCAACTTACTTAATAAATATAAAAGCCTTCTCCGCCCGCGCTCGTAAACCGCCCACTGCGCTCTTCCAAGATTACTTGTATCGCGACCAGAGAAATTTGATCCGCCAGTTCCATTACGCTCCCTGATTTGGGTATAGATAAGCGGAAGGTTGGCGGTCCAAGATACATTAGTTATGCTATTATCAGCGCTATGTAGATTGCTCCTCGCTCGCCTTGCTTTCTCCCAGATAAGGTTTTACGATGCCTGGAAGAAAGGATAATGTTCTTCTTTGATGTAAGCACGGAATTGTTGTACGTTCCGGTCTAGCTGTTAAGATAGATGCGGTTTTATTTCCTTGCAAGTCGTTCAGAAGAACGTTTGTTGTATATCAAGGGATGTAGTAAAGTGCATTCATGTATTCAGTACACACTGACATCTGCACTTTACCTGACCTTGATTATAACATAGTAAGCAATATGCAATCTACGTAATATAATAATTATTCTGCTAGCAATTAGACGCACAAGTATAATATTTTAGTTGAGTGTATATTTTAGAATCTCTAAGACTCAATTTATGCTGCCACTAACTTTAAAATTTCTCGCTATCTACACAACTGTTTGCTAATAAATAATAAAACATTTCTTATATTCCAGTGTTGGAGTAAGAGGAACAAAGTTGCAGTAATTTATGACAGAAGGCTTTATGGCAGGGCTAAGTTCGCACATGCGTACAAACGTGCACCATAAACTTTGCTAAGCCCCTACAGCTTGGGTATGTATCCGTCGACATAAATTTATCAACCTTTTTAGGCTTATTTTTGTTAAAAATACAATACTCGGATTTGAAGAAACCTTTTAGAATTTGCTCTATATATCTACAACCAACCGAATGTCAACTAAATATCTCACTTTAGTGTTTAAATCTTGTTTTAGTGAATAAAATTTTCAGCTCTTCACGCCCGTCGTCTGTATTTCTACTTATGTCTCTAAATTCAAAAATTCAAATATCCTTGTGTTTATAATAATCTAAAATTCAAGCCAACGTTTTTAAACTCTCATATACATAAAACTCTTAAATAGGACGTACCCTCGTTAATATGCGAAATTAAAACGACATAAAACTTAACATACGAATCGTAAAATTAACAAGCTCACTGTCTCCTTGTAATAAAAAATATACTTATGACACCGCTTATTTCAATTAATAAACGCTTTACGCCTACTTAAAGCAACTAAGTAGTAGTAGAGAAATCACCATAAAAATAACACTTAATTTCAGCTCGCAATTACGACGCCGTTAAAGGGCGGCTGCCGAGAACCGACATAGCCATTACATTACCTTACACTTACTATTCCATACGTTCAATGTAGGTATACTGTCTATTTATAACACTTTCTGTCAAAGGATAGAATGAAAATTAAAGTTCTTACTGATTGATGCTTTTTCTCAACATTGACTTGGAGAAAACAAAATGTTTTTTTCTAGTGGGCGGTTTCTGTCTGCATAATACGCCTGAACAAGTACAACCGCACGTTCGGTGTCTAGCACATAACAGCACTATTGTGTTCCAGATTGACAGGAAGGAAAAGCTACTGCAACCATCGGCACAAGAGACTTAAGGCCTCATATCCCAGGACCGTTATTTACTTTTCAACAGGTCTCACTGCTTGTCAAATTTTTGTTATCTTTATTTATTAAATAACTTTTATACAATTGTATATAATAGTTCCATCGTATCCTAAACTATGGTTTACAAAAAAAGCATTTTTGCCCGTTTCATATGGGGATTGCTCAGTACAAAGTTTACAGAACCTGCAGCGCTTCGATTGATCTGCAGGTCCCCCATCATCTGTTGCTCGTACCGGCCACATTACAATAACAAGTTATTGGCATCTTCCACTACTCTGCGTAACTCACTGCTTCGACAGTTCGTCTTTTTAATCAAAACTGCTTAACTTCATCACTTCAGTGCCTCTACTACGAGTTTACTGTGACAGTTGTCGCTAGCGACCGCGATTACACTGCGCCCTTATTAGTCACAAGAAGAACGAACATTTTGTGCACAAACATTTTACGCTTGCGATAACTGTCACTGTAATCTCATGGTAGCGGCACAGTTCATTTTTTCATCAAAGCTTTTTCATAAAAAATAAACAACACACATTTTCCTTCCACAGTCGTGCTTCCCGGTTTGAGTATCACAATTTGTTTTCCTTCCAATAACACTTATAGGCATGAATGAGAAAGACAAAGTCTGTAGCCTTATAGAGGAAGGTATGGGATAATGGACCGGCAACTAAATCAGACCACCCTCATATCTCAAAAAGTATTTTTTAAATTGCTTTATGGGCATAACCCAGCGATATGTGACTAACTTCATTGCCTACTGACCATGTTGTTTTTATTATGACATTGAACGTGTGTGTTTTGTTTTATCTTTTTTTGTTATTTTTAATGTAAATTCCACAGATACTAAGAGTGTATTAACTTAAAGGTAAGCATACAGTGTTCGTAATTTGCAGCATAGAAGTATAATTTATCTACAATCAAATTACATAAAACTATTCGCGGCATTTATAGGTTATATTGTATTAGATTAGGTTTTATAATATAGTCATATTGTTGGTTAAAAGGACCAACAGTGTGAAATGAATAGATGTTCAAATGGTCTTGGACGTTTCAGATAGCAGTCTTGGACTAGAGGACAAGGATAATGAATGTGCTAAATGCAAAATAAATTATTTCATTTTATAATTATTATAATTTTATTAGACTTATAAAATTATTACGTATGTTATATTATGTTTCATTGTAATTTTTTACCTATTTCTTTTACACTCAGTACCCATTGAATTCCAATTAGCGACCCCGTGGTCCAAATTACAGAACCAGTCGGCTAAGTAGGGACAAAGCTCGGATTTCACATTTTGTTGATTTTTTAGATGTCTGTAATAATTATGTTGATTAATGCTTAATAAATACAAAGTCTAAGAATTGTTGTTTCATTTCATACAATAAACATTTGTAAAAATCTGAAAAATATATATTTAAAACGCGTTTGAAAAAACAAATGATACTAGATTTTTCCTATACCCATATTAACAGACTTTCCCCTACTTATATTACAATTACTGTTTTTCCGTCGCGAACGAGATAATATGACGTCCGACCGGGGCATAAATGCGTTATATACTTGTTTTCTATCCTCCTTTCTCACCGGACTAATTCCAAAGACAGTTACGACTGGATAGGCGATAAATCTATGTGCTATAGTCTTAATTGTACGTGCCATAACACGAATGAGCCCGCATGTTTAATAGGCAAATTCATTGAGATAGAACTAGGCTTATACGGAGTTAATTTCACGGTTTAATTAGTGACACGTGGCTGGATTTATTGTTACGTTTTAGAGCTGCACTTGTTTCTTAAATTAGCTGCTGTTTTTGTGTAATTGGGTTTCTCGATAGAGCATTGACTATTGTAGAGTGATTATTTGTATTTCTGTCGGCTTTGAAGGGTGCGGTGATTGTTTTAAACAAATATGGTCGGTGCGCACATTATATTATAGTGCACGTTTTAAGCAGATAGAAAAAAAACAATCAGTGCCAAGTTAAACATGTTTTTATGACCACAGGAGCCAACTTCATTAAAAAAGATATAATAAAACCGGTACGAATACTTAATTTTTGTATTCATATATAGTAGATATTTGCAATATTAGAAGTATACAGGTATTCGTATATTTATAAATACCTACTTGTATCTTAAGTACCAAATTGCCTTTGCATTTATTACACCTACATACATAGGTAAATGATGAAACCTTTAACTCAAAGGTTAAATGTAAGTATTTTTAGCTAGAACAGCAAACCAACGAGTCTTGTGAACAGCACAGCTTCAAGTAATAGGTATTCATAGAGTGTATAATACCTCCCTTTGGTAGATATATCGGAATTATTAAAGGTAAAAATAAAAACTACATACTATAAAAAGGCAATACAAATACAATACAGTAATTGCATGATATCGAGAGAGGCATTATGCACTCCGTATGTATTATTTGCTTGAAGTTTACGTGAATAAAAAATGAATGAAAAAGCTTGTAGCTTATCACGATATAAATTTAAGATACAATTATTTAAATAGTCCTTAAAAAATAGTACATTATCATTTTTTACGCTGTTATGGCTCTTCTTAGAAAACTTTTGTTTTAACCCACGTGTTTTCTTTAAAAGAGTACCTCTGTACCTAGGTACGTACATACTAGGATTTTTATTTGTAACGTAAATAGAAAAGGACATTTATAAAACAAACAGACTATTTGCACACTATAGGGGTTTGATTAAAAACGTGCCGAAGCATTCGAATGAGTGTAAACACTGGGGAAGCAATCGGTATTCACCAGAGCCCCTTTTCGAACCCATAGTTAAGAATTTGATTAATTTTGGAGGGAGAAGTAAAGAAACACGCTATTTATGACAAAGACGACAATCTCGTTTAAATATATAGGTACCTCGGGTAGTAAATGTTGTGGCCTGGTGTTAATGAAAAGAAAGAAAAGACTCGGTCCACATAAGTTTATTAACAAATAAAAAACGAAAAGGCCCAAGAGGGCCTATATACGTATATCAAATGATTTAAAAACTGTAAATCACGTGAAGTTTGAGTTTTACGTGAGGATGATGCATGAGTACATTCTCACGTTTTGAGAGTTTTGAAAGAATAGTGGAAGAAAAAAGGAATCCGAGAACACTTTATGTAAGTGGCCAGGAACCAGTAAAGAGGGTGATAAAAAGATGGGATGACAATGATGGGCGTCAGGATGACGATGGAGCAGAAATTTCATTTAATTTGTTTGAACCTTTTAAAAGCATACTGCGCTACGAGATCACGCAGGCGGATAAAAAAACAGATCTTTTACTCTTTAGCATGTAAATACTATCAATGTATTTTTATTAACAATGTATTATATTGTATCGCACACACTAATATAGTAACGAACACCCTCACCATAACCCCGCTCTAGGAAAACCATGTGGCGCGGGTGCTATGGACACACGTAAACAACCACAAATTACACCCAAGCTCACTAGAGAAATAAATGCAGGCCATTCAAATATTTCTCCGGCCCGGGAATCGAACCTGGTACCTCTGCGTGGCAGTCCGGCATGGTAACCTTTCGGCCACGGAGGCAGTTTCAACAATGTTTGTTTTTCTCAGGATCCTGTCTCGACATCTCTTACTCTGTTACTACCTTATTTGCATGTACTTGTATTCAACTTTGCCCACGCTGTAACACTATAAGGGTTACCTCTTTCGCTTCTTGATAGGAACTTACGTAACGAACGTACTTATTTACTGAAACCAAAAAATACTACCAACTTTTAACGAGTACAAGTTTTAAAACTTTGACCCAGTTTTTTCAGTACTCTATTGCTATTTCGCTACATAATATATGTATTAATTACATGTAGGTATATATGAATAAACTATGAATACATGCGTAGAATTTATAATCATTATACATATATAAATTATCCTCTTAATCTAAGTACTTACCCACGAATCAAGCTGCCTGCAGGCATAGTTAGGCATACCTGTAAAAGCTTGACGTATTTACGACCCACCATAATAAATTCCATAGTTAACAATACCCCGCGCACCCTAATGCGATCCGATGACGGAAAAGTAACGCTCCCGATAACGAGGGCAATAAACCTAAAGGAAATTTCACTTGAGTGCTTTCGCTTTTCCTTGGGGGTGCGGTAAAATACATGATTTGCTCGAAGCTAGTGTGTGTAAATCGAACGAAATAGTTGGCAAACGTAATAAAGAAGCACGCAGGATAACTATTTCTAAAGGTACCTCGACGAAGAAAGGATACCTAAAAATAAATTGTACCAAAAATTCGTTTTTGTTATTCTTTATAGATTTAAGGTCAAATTTTTATGCCCTATCGATCTGTTTATTCATATTATTATTCACCAAAACTAGCTTTTCACGTAAACATAGTTATAAAAATAAAAAATATGTCTTCTTCTCAGGAAAGGAATGATACGTCGTGCACCCCCACAAAAGGAGTTTCAATGACGATGGCACAATCGCAACAACAACAGGGCAACAATCGGCGAGTACCTGACGCCCATTAGCAAATCCTTTCGCCACGATTGCAAGCATTCAGGTATATGCCGTTAATACTTACCAAAAAATATGAACCAAAAGGTTCATAGATTTCTCACAGATGGCGCTTGGAGAAATTCTTGAGGTCCGTTGGTTCGTTCCGTGACTTAGTCATCACAGCGTCTGACACGATTTGCTGGGAGACGTTGGTTCGAATCCAATCGGATCAAAGTGAATTTTTCTAAGTGTTTATCGATCTATGTTTAATAATTATACTAGTGGTAATAATGTCATAAAAAATAATTAAATATCATGATGGTGAAACAAGTGGTCTTCTACTAATGATTTTTTTATCGATTATAACAATAAAAACAGTTCATGGGTGTCGATATAAGTTACAGACAAAAATACAGTTTGCTCTTAACGTTTGTACTCGTAAACAATTCAAATGGTTATGTCTCAGATGTATCATTAGTTTTGTTTAAAAATTATTCTCTGAAAAGAACAAAGCGTCATTAGCACATAATGTCACTTTTGGAAAATACAAGTGAACCAGATAGAGATGATTGGATTGTAAAGAAAACTTCATGCGTTCTATTGTAAGTCAATGGTTCTATACATAATTATTATAAGTAAAAACTTTAAGTGTAGGAAACGCGCACGAGTATACGCAATGACGCCACTAATTTGTGATTTATTGATTTATTTTACAATTTTGATTAGTAGCTGTGAAATTAATTCTAAATAAATAACTATGTATTTTTAAATCAAACATCTCGATTACTTTTTACATTTCGCAAACAAAATACCAATTATCAAAACAAGACGGTTGTTTTTTTGCAATCATCTATTACAAGCTAAATATGTAAATGTAAAGAATTATGTATTAACCTATTGGTGCTAGTGTTGAATTAACTAGGTACTTACACTTCAGTCTACCAATGAATGTAAAAAATCTATTTTTAATTACACATATGATTAGGAAGCGTCTTAATCAATTTTGTATTTGCATACTGAAATGTAGTCTAATTTAATTTTATATTTTTCTCATTCCAGTGCACCTGATGAGTTCGATAAACTGTAGCGGAAAGCAATTCCGTGAAGGGACCAAATGTTTCAAGATTTCACTGACACCCACCCTCTCTTTGTTCCTGCTTTACATTCGAAATAGCACCCCAAACCTTCCATCTCTTTTGAGTACAGCGGCCATCTTGTACACACATCTCTTTCTAGCATGAGTTTCAATATGGCGGATGCTGCGCGGGTGGGGTGGCTTCCGGAGGGTGTATGAAGTTGCCGCGAAATTAGATGACTTTTAGGGGGAAGTAATCAATATTAGAAACTTTTGTTATGGACGGACGCACACCTAAGTAATACAACATCGCTTACGTATAACGTAAGCGATTTTGTATTACAACAAATTGTCAATTTACAAAGAGTTAGCGAAACTTGAATTTATTACGTAATGTAATCATGAAAACATGTACATAAAAAAACAATTTAACTAATAACTTTATTAATTTATTTATAATTGCGTTATAAAACAAATCAGATAAATAGTACTTAACTATTACACCTAAGAGCTCATTTATTTTTCACTGAAAACAATAAAATATTATCTCGCAGGTGTCTGTAGCGTTGTGGAGTGGATGTCTCCATCCGTTTAATACTCATAATCAAAAACCTGCAAGCAAAAAATAGTTCTGTAACAGGATACTTGCTACGCTTAATTGAAACCAAGAAAAATATTAATAAACTGTTAACATTATATTTCTCTATTAATATTAATATTAAATAACAAAGGAAGTTAGTCCTTCTTAATACAATTAAATGCGAATTATTTATGCCAAATAGAAATCAATATAATTTTATCAAGTCGGCGTACTAAAATTCGCAATAACATCTATTTACTTTCTAAGCATAGTAAAGCTAACTGTAAGTAATCAATTTTGCTACATTTAAGCAGAGCTTATTAAATTTCACTCTTTTAACCATTGACTTACAATGCTTTTAACGTTTCATTTTACAACTAATGTTCTCAATCCACGTCAAATGCCATAAAAACTAACAATATTAAGGCGTGGTTACTGACGAAACGAAACATAAGAACAATAAAAAAAAATTAAATTTTATTCGATGTAGAACTTATGAGCAGTAATTATTTTCAACATAAATTCCTATGATAAAGTGTATTTTTATTGATTCTTTTTGATTTACTTTTTAATAATTTTATGTTACTAAATAGGTAGATGTAAACAGTTTATTATTAAAAAGACATAAAGTTTAGCTTCTAGGATATTAAAAATCAAATATGTACCTAGTGTCCCGCAGCAGGGTGCCCAAAACACTAGCATGTTTACTATTTTATTTCATATTTGCCAGTAACATGCGTAGTACCTACTTTGTATGGCCGTACTAATACATTTAGCAATGTGTGTGCAGCGCCGTACCTATGGTGCAGAGTGTATGGCGCACACCACTCACGATGCCTACTTTGCTCCATTTGCACCCAAATTTCCGATCACTGAGGAAAATAAAACTGTAAGTATTCATTCCATTTTGATCGTGTGTCTACCAGAGGGCGCCAGGGTATTGATTGCACCCGGGCGCTACATGAGCTAGCGCCGGCGCGTCCATTACTTTACTATGGACTGGGGTTCGACTCAAAAGGTCGACTTCATAGTCGAAGCCTGGTACCAAGACCTCGCCTCCGACTATAGTCCGAGATGTTTTTTTTCAACCTGTCGGCCAGTTTCAGGAGTAAATCCTCTTGCTGGTCATTTGAACGTAGAAAAGGTTGAGAGTTTACATTCCTAAGTAATAAATTATTTAAATTAATTGATTATGTGTTTTATTAATTACCCCTGTCCCCATTTAGTTGGTCACCTCTGCCTGACATGCTTGTATCATCACTAACTAGTGCACAGAAATGTAATAGACATTAGCAATTAAAAACTTACTCTATTCAACATTATAGCAAAAATAAGAATAGATAGAATAGAGTGCCTATGTACGATTCATGCATCATTAAGCGAAAGAGGTGCATTTGGGGCGTAGCGGGTGGAAGTCCAGAGTTTCCTCCTACCCCAGCAGGAGATGGACGTGATAATGTGTAAGTATGACTAAGTATAATAAATTAAAAAAGTTGCGGATCAAATAAAAGATTACTTACCATAAAATTATTATGATACAGAATCATAAAAAATCCGTTTGAGTAAACTTGCTGAACTTTATCTAAATTAATTTGGGTTTAGATAGAAAATAGTTCCTGTTATTAAAGTAGGTAGAGAAGAACTGTTAACGATAACTTTTTTTTAATTTACTCTGCCTTTTTTAAGTGAATAAGAAAATTAGTTTAGCTGATTTTTTTCTTTAACTTATGTCTATTACTTACAACTATAAATAACAAACTAATTTCTTATTCAAATGAAATGGTAATGGTCCTCTCAAACACATACCTACCCTCAAAATTGCCCCCTCACCCTTCAAGACTCTACCAAACTTATCTTTGTCTCTGCATTTAAGTACGGGTGGTTCATAAAGAATGAGTGCACAGTTAATATTGAACATGTTAAAATTGGAAATGCTTTGAAATTCACGTACTCCACAAACCCTTATATTTATTTAGAGGCTTATTCATATCACTACACAATTATGTACTAAGTGAACTATCTACGTCAGGGTGTTTGTAAATATGTAGACACTTAGTAGGTTACAACTATAGGTTATACCTAAAAGTCACTGATTTCTATTAAAATAATAGATCGAAACGAAACATTTTTGTTTTACAATTCCGTCCATAAATAAAATTAGATTTTTTACGCCTCTAGACAAATATAATTAAATAATTAACCTGATAGTTTGACAAGAAACTAGACTTCACGCCATCTGTTCCTACGTGGATGAACTACGCAGCTCATTAAGAAACTACGACATAGGACGCCATCTAGCGGTTTTGCGTGGAAGTTCTTAGTGTGCTACATATCTGGTCAAAGTCACACAATAAATAAGTCACAATTAATGAACGAGAAAGTTTTTATGCGTGCCAATAGATCGTACTTATTTGAATAAAGCACTTGGCTTTCTTTATCAACGCTGTCAAGTCACGTCACTGAATTAACCACTTCTATCTTTTTTATGATACTTGACGGGTAAGTCGTGCTGCCTGTTGGTAAGCGATAGGTACGCTTAGAATAATAACGCATAGAATGATAGTTTCATATCAAACGAACTGTCACAAGTGAGGCAAAAACCAAATCATGTAGGCGTAAGCAACTTGTAACTACGCTCGTCGGCACGCACACAAATATACAAATAATGATGCCATGGAATAACATTTCCCTCAAAAGTGGGGAAATTGTATCTTGCTTAACTCATCATTAAGTTAAAGGTGCCTACAGATTTGCCCGACATTGTCGATCAGGTGCCTACAGATATGCTCGGTTTTGTCGATGAAAAACGAATGAAGCACTTATTTGTAAATCCAAGATGGCGGACACGATTTTTCAAAATATGCTATATGGGTATCCTTTTCGAGGTATTTGGGGATGCTCATTACGAATATGGCACTCATTTCTAAATCCAAGATGGCGGACACGAGTTTTCAAATAAATGCAATATGGGTATCATTTTCGAGGTACTTGGGGGTGCTCATTACGAATATGGCACTCATTTGTAAATCCAAGATGGCGGGCACGATTTTTTCAAAAAAATGCTATGTGGGTATCATTTTCGAGGTATTTGGGGATGCTCAATGTGAATATGGCACTATTTGTAAATCCAAGATGGCGGGCACGATTTTTCAAATAATGGCAAGTTGGGTATCGTTTTCTTGGTATTTGGGGGTGCTCATTACGAATATTGCTTTTGTTTGAACTGTCGTGTTTGCCATCTTGGATTTAGAAATGAGTCCCATATTTGTATTGAACATTCCCAAACATCTCGAAAACGATACCCAACTTGCCATTATTCGAAAAATCGCGCCCGCCATCTTGGATTTAGAAATAAGTGCCATATTCGAAACCTAAAACCGAAAATGCCATAAGCAAACATTAAAGAAAATAACTGTTAAAATAGATTAAAAAATCGCTTAAGAATGCTCCCCTTTTAAGAAAATAAAATATTTTAATATAAAATATTTCGCTTGAGTTACGAAAAGAAAGACATATAATAAGCTATCAAAGTTGTACTGGTGGTGCCAACACTATAGTAGAAACAAATATATACTGTAAATTTGTTGCAATATGTGCTCCAATTCAAATAAAATTAATATAAATAATTATTCTATAAAGCATGAACGCAGAGCCGTTAAAAGTATTATAAAATAATTAAGTGTCCCAATCACTTACAGGAGTTAACGAAAACATTTAATGTTTATTCGAGTAAATATTAGTTCAAAATGCGCAAATAAATCGAAATTACAGGCACCACTAAAATTTACGTAATATAATTATTTTGATACAGAATAGCAAAATGGGGAGAAAAAAAATTCGTTACTTTGCAACACTTTCGTATCTTGTTGCCGCGAAATTATTTTTCTGTTTTAGTGAATATTTACATAAAAATATGAGTTGAAACGCATTACTTACTTGTGGAATGCGATGTTAGTGTCTATTTTATGTTTGTCTGTTGTATTTTTACACCCATTTACCGCACATTTCGTCATTTTTAGCAAAAAATTTTGGAGCTGTTCGCGGTGCAATATGACCTTGAGCACTAACAGCCCGCGCGCTCCTGGGACGCGTTTGGAACCCTCTAACTTGCCTCACTTAGCGTGTGCGGGCTAGGTTTCTATGCGTTATTATTCTAAGTAGGTACGCCTACCTGTTCAAGAAATTACAGTGCCACTCAGAATTTTAAATCGGAAAGATCTGAGGGGCACTGCCACACTGCGCCTTGACAAGTCCCATGTGCATTTAATTTCACCAACATCCTTACCCAGAACGCTGTACCTAATGCTCACATTACTGACTGCTTGGCGACAGAAATAGGCAATCTGTAACAAATACAAAAAAAATATAATTATAGCATATCTTTTGTAATTTATGTATACTGAAAAGCATTTTTAATGTTATGTAACTTGTATTACATCATATCTAGTATGTAGCTATGTACACTGAAATGTTATTGTTATAGGTAGAGACGGCAAAATTTGCAAAATAATTCTTTGTCTGTAATATGATAGTTCCGTGTTGTTCTTTAAAACATACTTCTAACTTCCTTCAAACTCAACGTAGATACCTAATTTGACTTTTCCAAAGCCAAAGCTGATACGCCCTTGATACCGGCAATATATTTAATAGGTAACATTGGGCGTCTTATACTCACCTAAACAGCAAAAACTAACTTTAAATAAGTATCTACT